CCTAGCTGTCCTAGAATTCACTATGTAGATCAGACTGGCCTTGAACTCACAGAGATCAGCCTGCCTCTGCCTCCCAAGAGCTGGGACTACAGGTGTGTACCACAGCTTTTTTAAAAAATATTTTATTTATTATTTTTAATTTATGTGTACGAGTGTATTGCCTGCATGTGAGTGCACCTGTGTCATGCAATGCCGTGGAGGTCAGATGAGGGCTTCGGATTCCCCTGGAACTGTAGTTAAAGACGGTTTGTGGCTGCCATGTGGGTGCTGGGAATCGAACCCGGGTCCTTTGCAAGAGCAGTCAGTGCTCTTAACCGCTGAGCTATCTCTCTAGCCCCCAGCTTATTTTTTAGTTATATATTTATATAGGGTCTCATGTAGCTGAGGTTGGCCTGGAAACTCTTTATGTTGTTGAGGGTAGCTTTGAACTCCTGATCCTCTTGCCCTTACCTCCCAAATGCTGGGATTACAGGCAAGTACCACCACATCCAGCTGAGGGATGCAGTTTTATTTTTCTGTTCTTACATACTTAGGTGGGGGCACACATACCTTGGTACATGTGGAGGTCTGAGGACAATTTTGGGGAGTCAGTTCTGTCCTACCACGTTGATTCTGGGGAATCCAATCACTATGTAGACCAGCTTGGCTTCAAACTCTGAGTGCTGGGATCAGGTGTGCGCTTACATCCTACTCAGGAGTGTAATTCTAAACATGGAGCTGGGAAAGTTCTGATGAGTGACTGCGGCATAGAGAGGGGTGACCTCAAAAGTGACCCCAGGATGTCTAGAAAGGAAAAAGGATGGGGTACAGCACTGTGGTGACCAGGACCAGGGCATAATTAACATTCCATAGTCATACCCCTTGCGGTCAGGTCAGCCACCTTTCGGGGAAGGAGGCGTGGTGGGCCTGGAAAAGGGAGAGACAGCTGGCAGCCCCAACCTGAACTTCCCCACATCCCATATGCCTGTGGGACCTCTGGGGTCCTGTCTAGAAGCAGATGGCACAAGGAAGGCGGGGCAGAGGAACCAGGACTAGCCCTCAGGGGGAGTCTGTGGTCCTTGGGAGCCTGTGATCCTTCGGAAGGCTGACCTAAGAGATCTCTCCATGCTGGCCTTGAAGGGCCGCTCGCTCTACAGGGCACTCCTGATCCTCGAAATGCCCCCTGGCTTAAGAGTCAGGAATGGTTCAGGGAAGGCTGCCCCTGGCAAGGTCAGGGACACTAGGGACTGTCCACCCACCTTTGTTCCTCGAGCTCATTTTCAGTGGCCCCCAGCCCATAGGGACATTGTCAAGTGGTGCTGAGATGGGTATACAGGATGCTAGCTCACTGTTGTCTCTCGGGTCTTTGAGACATTCTTACAATGAACTAAATCCTTCTGGCCTGGGGACTAAGCCAACTGGTACCACTGGACAAGGTTATCAGCCTAGCATCCCAATGTATGTGACAGGCTGTTGGTCCTCACAAGTCTTTGTGTCAAGAATTTATAACCAGGCTGGGCCTGATGGTGCACACCCATAATCTCAGCACTTGGGAGGTAAAGGGCAGGATGATCAGTTCAAGGTCATCCTTAGCTACATACTGAATTTGAGACTAGCTTAGGCTACATGAGATCATCTCAAAAGCACCTCTTGGGGCCAGCAAGATGACTTAGTTGGTAATGTATCTGCCGTATAAGCGGAGGACCTAAGTTGGATCCTCAGCATCCATGTAATCCTGTCAGTAACCCTAGCATTTGGTTGGGGGTGGGTGGTGGTGGTAGAGATAGGTGAATCCCCAAAACTTGCTGATCACTCTGGTCAATCTGTGAGCGCTGTGTTCTGGGAGACGATGCTGGAAAAAATGAGATGGAGTTTAAGAGAGGAAGATGCCTCACGTTGACTTCTTGTGGCTACACATGCTTGTGCAACCACACACATACAACATACATGTACATATGTACGTATACACAAACACCTCTTGGTGTGGAAACAGAGGGGTGGGCCAGGCCTTTTGGTTTTCAGCCTCATTAGAACTCCAAGAGGCAGCAGTGGGGCTCAGAGGAGGAAAGCAAGCTGCCCATCTGGTGCTGGGACTTGCAGCCCGGTTCTCTCCCATTGTGCCACTTCTTGTGGCCAGGCTGCCCGCCTGCCTCTGCCCTGGGGCGTAGTGTTTTGAATTTAAAAACAATATTTGCATGTGTGTGGGCATGTTTCAGCAGGCACATGTGGAGGTTAGGAGACAACTTGTGAAATTCTTTTCTCCTTCCTCCATGTGGGCCCCTGGGATCAGGCTCAGGTCATCAGGCTTGAGCATTTACTACCTGCTGGGCCATCTTGTGGCCTGTTGCTTTTTTTTTTTTTTAAGAGGTTTCTGGCTGGGCATGATGGCACACACCTTTAATCCCAGCATTGGGAGGCAGAGGCAGGTGGATCTCTGTTAGCTCAAGCCAGCCTGGTCTACAAAGCCAGAGTACCAGCCAGGGCTACATATAACAAAACATAAATAAATAAATACAAAAAGAGACTGGGCCCCATGTAGCCAGGATGGCTCAAATTTGCTATGAAGCGGGGGATGACTTTGAACTTGTTATTCTTGCCCCCACCTCAGAAGTGCTGGGATTACAGGCATGAGCCACTATGCACGGGCCGTGAGAGGGCAACTTGTGTGGTGGGTCTCCTACCCTTTCGAGTGTTGCAGGGATCAAATTTGAGTCATCAGCCTTGTGAAGCATGTATTTCCACCCACTGAGCCATCTCATTGGCTCTCCTGTTTTTGAAGCACGGTCTCACTCTGTAGTCTGGGCTGTCCTGGAATGTATCGGTCCTCCTACCTCTGCCTCTGAGTGCTGGAATTACAGGTGTGTCTTATCTAGGTGGTGAAGGGTTCTTGGTGCTCACTGTAGTTCCTTTTCCTTACAGAAATGTCCCACTGATACCTTGGCAGGGGCAGGAACTATCACCAGACCGGGACCAGAACCCATGGGCCTGGGCTGCCTCCTGCAGAGAATGGGCTCTTGGAGGGAGAGAGCACAAGGCCCCACGGCTGGGTGGCATGAGGGCCAAATGAATCTGTGACCGGGAGTAAGTTCTGCCTCTCAAGGTCGTAGTCACTCACCCACATGGCAGGGACCTGGCAGCTTCTGGGTCCTGCTGGAGTGTCTCTTGCAGGGTTTTTGGACCATCAACCCACTCAGACCTGTGGCCCAGCGGTCCCTACCCACCTTTAAAACTTGTCTTATTAGCCTGACCCTTCTGCCAGTGAGGGGGCAGAGGTTCACCCAGGTGAGTGCCCATCAGAGGTCACTGCATCAGAATGCAGGCACATCAGGCCTCCCCTCCCCTCCTCTCCCCTCCCCCACCTCAGCACCAACCCAGTCCCAAGCACACACCAGCCTTTCATGGTGCCCTGACTCTTCCTGAACACTGGCAGGGGCCTCCAATGGGATGTAGCCACCATTCCCTGGCCACTTGCCTCCAGCCTTCCGAGGACAGCAGGTCTGAGGGGACCTGACTGCCATTTAAGTGTCACTCAGTTCTGCTGTGCAGCAGGGGCAGATCAGCCCGAACCCCAGAGAGGCGCCTCTTGTTCCAGGGCTCCTGCCAAGCCTGGCAGGGAGCTGGCAGCAGTGACAGCCTCAAGCTCCCCCAGCACTTGGAAGGCTCCCAGGTCCTCGCTGGAGAACGCGATGCCACTTCTCTTGTTAAATGGCACCAGGTGGCAAAGAAGATGTGGCACAGAGACCCGAGGGAGAGGTGTACACCTCACGCTGGTGAGGGGCAGGGTAAGGGGCGAGAAGGCTCTGGTTTTCAGCAAAGGACATCATCAGGAGGCAGCAGGTGGCACCTGTGAGACCGTCTTCTCCTCAGGTGCCAGTTCACTAGCCCCACCCCCACCCCCACTCAGGGCCCAGGATAATCCTTAAGAGGCTGGCCTGCCAGGACTGCCTGTCTCTGCAGGGAAAACAAACTTTTTGTTTGCCTACAGCCTTTTTCTGACCTGGATCCACCTCTGCTGACCGCCCTGACCAAATGCCCTATTGGAGTTGGAGTCACTGCAGCTAATGCCAAGGTGTGCGGTCTCCTCCCTGTGGTACCAACAGAGCGCTCTAGCACTCTACCCTGAGGCAGGCTCTGCAGCTCACAGGAGCAGGCCTTAAGGATCACCCTGAAGACTCTGCTTCTCAGACACAAGGCCTGTCTGCACCTTGCATTCACAGCTCAGGCCCTGCCTAGTGGAGATGTCACACTTGTTTAGGCACAGAGAACCAAGGGCAACGCAGGCCTACCACCCACAGGCCCTGGGCTGTGGCTATACCTTCTGTCTCCCGAACCCTGAAATGGGAATCAGCAACCCTGCAGGTGTGCTGGGATGGGGACAGGCACTCCTGCTCGGTGAGCTCTGTGAAGCCTGCAAGTGTCAGGTAACCTGTGTGGCCCCAACTGCAATCTACAGAGCTGAGGTCCCAGGGTACTGCCTTGAAGCCAGCCAGGTGTGTCAAACCCTGCTTCACAGGGGTAGGGCCCTGGGCTGTTCTGGAAGGTACCCACAGAGCAGGCAGGCACAGCCCCATCCTTCTGACAGCACTAAGAGGAGGGCCATCTGAAGGGTGGGGAGGGCAGGCTTGGGCATTAAGTGGGTGAGGGTGGGGAGGGTTAGGACCCAGCTCTCCTGAGCTCTTCACAGACCTTCTTCACCCTGAGCTCCCGTGTGCTAAGTTCACCTCCCACAGCACTGGGGACCTGGGCCTGGCTGACAGGATTTCCACAGTCCAATCCTGGACCTTCTACCAATTTCTCATTAGTTGCAAGGGGAAAGGCCAGTCTCTCACAGCAGACCCAGTTTCTCGCTCCTCACAAACTCTGGCCTCGCAGGTGTCATCCCTATGTGTTAGTTTTTAAGTCAGCTCAGGATGATTTCAGATAATAGTTACTGCTTGCTGAGTGCCTCCCTGGTGCTGGGTGGGGCATGAGCACGGTGAGCACGGTGTGCAATCAATCAAGCAGACAGACAAGCCACAGGGTGTGAGGCAGTCTCAGGCCCATCACCTGTCATTTCATTCAATCCTCACAACATGACAGAACCATCTCCACATACATCAGAGAAACAGGATCCCAGCAGCGACAGCCAGGTTTCGTAAGAAAAGTATGGCCAGCATGTGGTGTCTCCCTGGGCTCCTGGAGGCCAAGCTCTGCCCCCTTAATTGTTCTGAGTCAGTTTCCTCATCGGCAAAGTCAAAGTGGTGGGTGAGACCAGTGATTTTCAGCTTTTTTAGTCATGGTTCTTTGTCTCAAAGAAATCTTAGGTGGAGAGGAACCACATCAGACAGAGGACACAGGCCTCTGTGGGAGTGTGGGGGGAGCAGGAGGGTGCTGGGGTTTCAACAGCTGGGCTCCCTCCCCACTCCTGCCCAGCATGCCCTGCTGGAGCAGAGGAGCACAGGCCTGCAGGGAGCAGGGCCTTTGAGGCCTTGACTGGTCTTCACCAACAGTGACTGCTCATGGAGCTGGTACCAAACGTGGGGAGGGCAGGAGTGCTCACAGCTCCTCCAGCAGGGTGCCCTCGGAGCTCCTCAGCAGGGACGGCAGGTTTAGTGCTGAGACTCCTGGCACGTGGCCGGCACAGATCTGCAGCATGCGCACCAGGCGCTGTGCCATGGTGGCTCGAAAGCCTTCTACCTGCAGAGAAGAGCAAAGAACATCAGTGAGGAGCCATACTCAGAGCAGATGCCCAGGCAGAGCTGGGGGCCCAGATGCAGGGGAACCTCAAGAGGCCATGGCCCATCGTGGCCACCCCTGGGCTATCCTGGTCCTGGCACAAGCCAGTGGACGAGTGAGAGACTCTTACAAGCATTTGCTGGAAGAACAGGCAAGGGTGCTCAGCATCTTCTCTGGTCAGCAGTGGCCCAGAAGCAACCTGTCTTCTGTGCCTCTTGATGGGGGCTCAGGGGCCATAGCCAGCCCACTAAGGTCAGCTCCCACACTCCCACTCCATCTCTAGAGGCAACATCAGCCATCCAGCCATCAGGCTGCAAGCCACCACTGTCCTTGACTTGTCTTCCTGTCTCATGTCCGGTCATCAGCACATTCTGTTGACTGTCCTGGAAACAGCCAGTGCCGTGGACCGCCCCATGCCACTCTTCCCTGGCCACCACTGAGTCCAGGTCACTCAACTCTCCCAGAAAGAGCTCCAAACCATCTATTTCCGCCCTCATCTCCCTCTCAGTCTCCTCTCCTCCGGCAACTCCTTTCACTCATAAAAGCCACAGCCTTTACTGGGGCTGAAGGACCTGACTGATGCACCCCCAGCATCCCTGTAGGAACACATCAGGCAAGCTCTAGACCTCTGAACTCGGCCCTGCTCTTGGCAAGGCCTAAGTAGAACAGCTCCCGTAGAACAGCTCCCTCTCCTACTTTCTTTAGGATTTCATTTGAGAGTTTGCAAGTAAGCCTCCTTGGTGACTAGCTAAGCTTTGCCCTTTTGCCACTATGTGACTATACCATCTGGTCTTTCCTTTTTTCTTCCTATCTCTGTCTGTTTCTCCCTCCCTCATAGCCCAGGGTGGCCCCAAACTCACTGTGTAGCCAAGGAGCTTGAACTTTTGACCCTCTTGTCTCCCCTGCCAAGTGCTGGGATTACAGGTGTGAGCTGCCACACTGGTGTCAGCTGTGCCTGGGGATTGAACCCAGGGCTCTGTGCAAGGAAGGCAGGCCCTCTACCAACTGAGCTACATCCCTAGTCTCCCACCCTGTTTTCATTCTACTCTTTTACTTTGGGAACAAAAGCACAGGGAGTGGTGGTCTCAAACACTGACCTCTTCGTGGTTTTGACTAGAACAGAGCAGGACTTACTTATTTTGCTCTACGCTGTGTTTCTAGTGCCTAGAACAGTGCTTGGCACACTGTAGGTACATGAGAGGTATTGTGAATGGCTCTTCCTGCTCTGAGGTTTGTGGCCTGTGCCCCAGAACCCATCTCCAAGCTTCTGCTGCTCTAGCCAGCGCTCCACAGCTGCCTCCTGCCCCCCCCGCCGCCCCCCAGCTTCCAACCCAGCAAATCCAGCTGTTCTGCACGTGCTGCTCTCCCATCCACCTCACTAGATTCAGAGAAGGCAGTGGCTGCCTCATTTGTGTTCCCAGCACCAGTACAGGCCCTGCGGGCAGACAACTGTCACTGGGTGAATCTCACCTCCTAGATTGCTTCCAGGTCTATAAAAGAGGGCTGGCCATTCTTTTTTAATTTTAGGTGCATGGGTGTTTTGCTTGTGTATTTGTTAAGTGCACCCGTGTCATGCAATACCCACAGAGGCCAGAAGAGGGCATCGGATCCCCTGGAACTAGAGTTACCAATGGTTGTTAGCCACCATGTGAATGCTGGAAACTGAACCTGGGCCCTCTGCAAGAGCAGCCAGTGCTCTTAACCAGAGCCATCTCTTCAGCCCCAAGGAATGGCCCTTCTTGTCATACAAAGGTTTCCAAACAAAGCACACACACAAAAGAGAACAACTCTTACACACAGGATGACCCTGGATGACCAATGGTTCAGAAGGGGTGCTGCATTCAAAGGATACAGGCCTATGTTCTGAGCAGGTAACTGGGACCTCTGCTTTCTATACAGCCGGCCCAGGAGGGATGGACATCTTTCCTTCCTTTACATTTATTTATGTATGAGTGCATGAACCCACGTGTCTTCACATGTTAGAGGACAGCTTGCAGGAATCCACTCTCTCCTTCCACCATGTGGGTCCCGGGGGTCAAACTCAGGTCACCAGTCTTAGAAGCAAGTGCCTTTTACCTGCAGAACCATGGTAGCCTTACCCCAGACCTTTCCTAGACAAAAGGTCTTAAGCGCCATGAAAACTCAAAAACTGGTGTGGCATGCCACCTCATGGCCACATATGGAACTGCAGCGCCTGTCCCGCTGTGTCCCCTCTTTCCTCAGAGGCTTGCTGGGAGGAAAGCCTGGCAGAGGGAGGCACTTCAGGCCTGCTACCTAGGTCAGAGCTTGAATCTAATTACAGACTCGGAAACAGCTGTTAAATACGAAAGACAGATGTGCGACGGAGCAGCATGTGCACCTGGATTGATGCTTTGGTCTAAGGCTGATCTCAGGGGTCATTCAGTGATTAAGAACATGGAAGCAGTGATGGGGTCTGCCCCACCCCATTCCGTGAAAACACTGCTGTCTCGGATGTGCTATTCCCATTGATAACTCTTGCTTACACTCATAAACTCAATTTGTGTGTGTGTGTGTGTGTTGCTTTTACTTCTCCTCCAAGTCACCCAATTTTGCCGTTGGACCAGCAGAGCCCACAGACTTCAGAACAGGAATCTGAGCCATAAGCTGTGAGGTATTTTGCCCCAACTCAGGTCTCTCTGAGTCACTTTGTCTTTGGGAACAGCTGCTAGACCCAAGACAGAGTATAAACATAACTCTTCTAAATAAGCCTCAAAATTAATAAACAGAATCTCAGCGACTGGGCATGGCTGGTGCATGAGTGGGCGACCCAGGCTCTGAGAACTCTCGGGGAGCTCCATCAACTCCTGCTAAGCACTCACAGAAGTCGTGGATTCACTGTGTACAAAACCATGCCTGGGGCCGGAGAGGGCTACGGTCACCTAGAGTCTAGTTCCAGGTTCAGTAAAAAGACCAGTCTCAAGGGAATGAGGCAAGGCGTGAAAAGAGCAAAATACTCGACACCATCCTCTGGCCTCCGGGCACCTAGAGGTGCATGAACCCATACACACATGTGCACACATACCGTACCCCCCCATACATACGAGAAAGAAAACGCACACCTGGGGCTGAAGAGCTGGCTCAGCAGTTAAGGGCACTGGCTGCTCATGCAGACAACCTGGGTTTGGCTCCCAGCACCCACATGGTAGCTCACAACCATCTGTAACTCCAGCTCCAGGGAACTGGAACTCTGTCCTGGCCTCTCTGGGCACCAGGCACACACATAGTGCATATGCACACAGGCAGGCAAAAAATTCACACACATAAAGTATAAATACTAAAAGAAAATTCACATGTGCTTTGCCACACAGACAGGGCTCACCTGGTGAGAACACCAATGCCATGCACACCAACCATTGTGCAGCTGCCCACCTAACACACTTCCCCACTGCTCGCTCTGGGTCCTGCCTTGTGCTCAACGCTGGACAAGATCTGCAGTCCAGGGAGCTTAGGGTTTCATCAGGGGCTCTGACTGCCAAGGAGACACGAGGACACACTGGTTAAAAAGAAGATACAGCACCTGGTCTCATGAGTACTTATCCCCAAGCAGGAGAGGGTGATACTAATGGGAACTTTCGAACACACACATGAGACTTAAAAGCCTTGGACCAGGATCACAGGTTTCCTTTCACACCAGGAGTTGCATCACCCGGGTACTCAGGGACTCTTCAATAAGCACTCCTGGCCTGCCAGCTGTGTGCTCAGTGCCTCCTCATACCGAAGTACAACACTGGCCGCTATGATCAGCATCCTCACCTCCAGGTCACAGAAGAGCAGGGAGCACCGGTACGTGTGGGCCAGCTTCACAACTGTGTTCCGGTGAATGCTGCAGTGGCTTTCCCGTCCAGCTGCAAAGAAGCCAGGAGGGCTTCAGACTGCATCCTCAAAGCACTGGGCAAATCATCCCCCCCGCCCCGTCAGCCCCCAGAGGTTCAGTTTCTTACTCGTTACTGGAGTGACAGCCCTGCTCTACCTTCTTTTCTGGGCAGTCAAGACCATCACATTAGACTGTAAGGCTGCAGGGGCTGAGCAAGCTCTGTGAATACAAGAGCCCACTGCAGAGCTGCTAGGGGAATCGATCTGAGAAATCACAGCCATTCACTTACCAGCGTCCGCTGGGGACCATCACTGTCACCACCACCACCACCACCACCACCATCTGTGCCAGGCTGCCCTCAGGCCTCAGTTTAGCAAGGGAGGCGGGCAGACCAGACTGTCACTGATACTGGGCTGTATTCTGTGGTATTGGCGTAGGGGTTAGCAAGACAAAGAGGAAGAACACAGCATTGGAGAGAAGCCCCAGGACCTAACTATGCAGTGCCGGCTGGCCTTGAACTCTTCGTAATCCTCGAGTAGGTTGGCCTCAAACATGTGATCCTTCTGCCTCAGCCTCCCATGTGCTGGGATTACAGGTCTGTGCCACTTCCTATTTTACTCTGTATCTTTAGAGGATTTAAATTTTTCTCTGAAAGCCACAGGGAGGAAGTCAGTAAGCAGCTCCCAAGTAACAGCAGAATTAACCTGCTGAGATTAGGTTAGGCAGATAGCAGTCAGGTGGTAAGGTCCCTACCCCAGGCCACTTCAGCAAGGAGTCTGTACCTGAGGCTGCTGCTCTGCTGGGATGGGGCTGTAGCAGGCAGGGGACACACTTACCCCCGGTGACAAGGAAGCACACCTTCCCCAGGAAGAAGCTGCTGTCCACATGCTGCAGAGACTCCTCCACATTCTGGAGACTGGGGCGGCCAGGCCAGAGGGAGAAAACAAACCCCAGGGCATTTCACACCACAGAGCCCTGTTCCTCTGATCCAAGATACCAGAGAATGGGCAGGAAAAAGGAACTAGCTCTGGAGGATAAGCCACAATTTGATTTTTAATAAACAAATTTTGGGGCTGGAGAGATGAGTCAGTGGTTAAGAGCACTGGCTGCTCTTGTAGAGGACCTGGGTTTGATTTTCAGCACTCACATGGTGGCTGACAAATGTTCATAACTCCAGTTCCAGGGAGTGTCCAGCATTGCACATATCAACATGCAGGTAGTACATTCATATACATAAAATAAAAATAATAAATTAAAAATTTAAAAACCTACTCTTGGGCTGGAGAGATGGCTCAGTGGTTAAGAGCACTGACTGCTCTTGCAGAAGACCCGGGTTCAATTCCTAGCACACCCACATGGCAGCTAACAACCATCTGTAACTCCAGTCTTAGGGGATCTGGTGCCCTCTTTTGGACTCTGAGGGCACTGCACCCATGCATGCAGGCAAAACACTCATACACATAAAATAAAAATAATAATAATAAAAATTTAAAAAACAACAACAAAAAAGAAAACTAAAAAAAAAAAAAATCTACTCTTAATTAGAGAGCAGTTCATGCTTCTAAAATAATGAAACAGTAACTATGATCACATACACAGATAGCAGAAGCCCCTCTCGGTACCTCCTTTCACTCTCAACTCCCCAGAGGAAACTGCTGCCAACAGTTGGGGGTATGATTCTTGTACAGTTTTCACATGCAAATATGGTGGTGCGTCTAAACACCTATGGCTTCAGTACTATCAGACTCTGGACCAGCACTGCTACAGTTTCAGTATGGTTTAGTTTGGCTCCCAAGAGTTCATGTTTGTTGCCTTTTTTTTGAGACAGGGTTCCATCATAGACCCTGGCCTTGAATTCCCAGAGATCTCCTGAGTGCTGGGATTAAAAGTGTAAACCACTGGAGAGATGGCTCAGTGGTTAAGAACACTGGCTGTTCTTGCAGAAGACCCAGGTTTGAATTCCAGCACTCACATGGTAGCTAACAACTGTCTATAACTCCAGTCCCAGGGGGATCTGACAGCCTCTTCTGTCCTCCATGGGCATTGCACAACACAGGTGCACATACCTACATGCAGGTAATACATGCATACAGATAAAATAAAAATAAAAAATAAAAAATATTAAAAAAAAAAAAAAAGGCGTAAACTACCATGCCTGGCCACGTGCTGAAATTTAATCCCCAATGTGAAAACCTTAGCAGAGCACCTGCCAAGCAGGTAGCAACTGGAGGCCTGTGTTCAATCACTATCACTACCGAAAAGTAAATGAAATGGGGCTGGAGAGATGGCTCGGCAGCTAAGAGTACTCACTGGCTGCTCTTACAGAGGACAGGGGTTTGATTCCCAGCACCCGCATGGCAGCTAACAACCACTTAAACCTCTGGTTCCAGGGGATCCAACACCCTCTTCTGACCTCTGCAGACACTGCATGACACAAGTGCACTTACACACACACAGGCAATACACTCACACAAACACAGGCACAGAAACATAAATAAAATAATTAAAAAAAAAATAACACCAAAAGTAGGGCCTCGGCTCTGAGCCTCTGGAACCTCAATGCAAAATAAACATATTTTCTTTATAAGGTAGCCTGACTTAGGTATTTCATTACAGTAATGCAAACTGACTTAATACAAGTACACAGCAACCTGTTACATTCTTTAGAATGACTTCACAGTACACTTTACATCCTACATTCACAGAGATGGGTACTTAACTGGCTTCTAATTTTTCATCATTACAAATGTCAGAGCTCAGTTGTTCCTCTTTACCAAACTTTTGAATGGTTGCAGTTAGCTCAGCAGTGAGGTCCAGACCTAATTCTGATGCTAATCTGGTGTCTCCATGCTCCAGGTTTCCTAGTGTTTTCCTCGCAGCATTCTACCTCATCCCTGGGAGTCTGCCCTGGTCTCCATGCTGGACCCTGCCACCCAGAAGGAGCTCATTCCTACCTTCACCTGCCTAGCTCATCTTTCAGGTATTAGTTTAAAAGCTTCACCCTCTGGAAACTCCAACCTGAGGCCTGGCTATCAGAAGTCTGCTTTGTTTTTTTTTGAGACAGGGTCTCAGACAGCCTAGGCTGGCCTCAAACTCATTGGATGATCTTGAACTCCTGATCCCATTTTCCACCTCCCAAGTGCTTGGATTTCAGTTGTATTTGGTTGTCAGAGTGTCCTGTTTGGGCTCCCAAAGCTCAGTGCAGCACATATTCCAGGTACTGTAACAGTCCAAAGGTCCGGCCTTCCCCCAACGGACTAAGAGAGCCTTGGGAACAGGGTGTATTTTCTTTACCTCTCTGCCTGCTTTCAGGCACATACAGTACATTCCAGAGAACGAGCAGGTGGTGCTGCCATGATGTGTGTCTTTGAATGCTGTCCTCCTCCTGCCTCACACTCTAGGTTGACCCCAGGCAGCCTCTCACTGCCTCCGACCTTCACAAAAGGGCACTGCTCTATTATATTTCCAAGCTAGGCCATCCGAGTCCAGTCCTCTGGCTCTCACCTGTATTTGCTGTGAAGGTTAATCACAAACACGATCAGGTCAACTCGGGGCCGGTTCACGTTGGAGGGCAGAGGGAGGGACTTGGCCAAGTGGCTGAAAAACAAGAAATTGCAGGATGAGAGATAAACAGACCCACCTCACAGTGACTGTGGAAACGATGTCCTTTGTCAAGAAAGGGCTGCCAAGGGCTCCTTAGAGCCCGGCACAGGCAGGATAGAGCCAGTCCTACCCAGACCTCTCATCTGATTCCTTCTTGCCAGAAAAGTCTGTTTAGTAAGCACTACGGCAAGAGGGTTTAGACACAGAACAGCTGGGGCTAGCCCATTACCCTGCATGCTGGGAGGGAGATTGGGCTCAGAAGAGGGGTGCTAGACTGAGATGCTTAGGGGATGAGACTGAATGAGACAGTATGGGTCCATCCCAGGTCTGTCAGTTGCCAGCTGTGTGATCTCATCTGGCTCAGTTTGCTCTACATGGTAAGTTCCAAGGCAGCCAGGGCTACATAGTGAAACCCTGTTCCAAAAAACAAAACAAAGATATACTCCCCCTTTCAAAGCCAGATTTGGTGGTGCATGCCTGTAATCTCAGCTCTCAGAGACTAAGGCAGGAGGATCCAAAGTTTAAGGCCTGTTGTGGCTACAGAGGGAATTTAAGGCCAGTCTGGGGTGAGAAAGATCCTATCTCAAAATAAATTGGCTCAGTGGTAAAGTGCTTGCCTAGTATGTGTAAAGTCCTGGGCTAAAAGAAAAAAAAAAAAGGAATGTACATATATAAATATATATATATATGTAATAGATACAACATTTAAGAGGCAGAAACAGGTAGATCTCTGTGAGTTAGAGGCCAGCCTGGTCTACATAGTGAGTCCCAGACCAGCTAGGACTACAGAGTGAGACCCTGCCTTAAAAAATATGTATGTATTTATTTTGCTGGGTGTGGTGGCACGTGCCTTTAATCCCAGCACTCGGGAGGCAGAGGCAGGCAGATCTCTGTGAGTTCAAGACCAGCCTGGTTTACATAGTGAGTTCCAGGACAGCTGAGGTTACCGGGAAACCCTGTCTCAAAAAGATCCCCCACCCCAAAAGTATGTATTTTGAGGCAGGGTCTCATGTAGTCTAGGCTGGCCTCAAACTCACTATATAGCCCAAGATAGCTTTGAAGTCTTGATCCTGCCTTCACCTCCTAAATAGGTCGGGATTATAAGCGTGCACCACCAGGCTCACCACCTGAATTTTTAAAAATTAATTAATTTATTTTAAAGAGAGGCTCTCTGGGTTGGAGAGATGGCTCAGTGGTTAAGAGCACTGTCTGCTCTTGGAGAGGACCTGGGTTTCAATCCTAGCACCCACATGGCAGCTTGTGGTGGCTAACATCTCATAACTCCAGTTCCAGGGGATCTGACACCCTCTTCTGACCTCCTCAGGCATTGCATGACACAGGTGCACTTACATACATGCAGGCAATACACTCCTACACATAACATAAAAATAATAAATAAAAAAATAGAGGTTCTCTGTGTGGCTCAGAAAGGCAGGCCTTGAACTCAAGCAATCTTCCCGTTCCAATTTCCTTAGTACCTGGGATTAGAAATACATCATCCAAGGGTAAATGAAGTTTTAAAAATCCCTTTTCAGCTGGGCGTGGTGGCACACGCCTTTAGTCCCAGCACTTAGGAGGCAGAGGCAGGTGGATCTCTGTGAGTTCAAGGCCAGCCTGGTCTACATAGTGAGTTCCAGGACAGCTGGGGCTACAGGGAGACTCTGTCTCAAAAAAAAAAAAAAAAAAAAAAAAAAACCAAACAAACAAAAAAACAAAACCCTTTTCATTTCTGAGTTATGGGTTTGAGATCTTGTTATTGTCTCTTATCCTTTAGCCCAAAAGCCTGCTGAGGTTAGAAGAAAGGAAAGGAAAATAGATCTGTTACTTTTTCCCTAAATTTGGGGGAACTAAAGAATTCTCAGAATCTTGTTGCAGGCAGATCATGCATGAACCTCGTTGATTTTTGCTGTTTTCCAATTCATTTCACTAGACTGGGGAGAGGAAAATTTTCGTAACTTGGCTTTGTTTCACCACGTTCCCTCGGAAATCCTGGCCCTATACCTCTAATACCCTGAGAGAGTTCAAGTATCCTCGCACCTCAAGTATTGTCTTGGATCTATAATTAAAAATATTAACTGAGCATCCAGTCTGTACTAGTTATGGTCTGTGAACAGGGGTGAGTCCCTTTCCTTAAGGGCTGGCAGTGTGTGTAGGCAAACCAGAAACAAGTAAACAGGTGGGTAACTTCTTTTAGTGTTTTGTTGAGACCTTGAACTCCCAACCCTCCTACCTCCACCTCATGGGTGCTGGGATTACAGGTGTATGCCCCCATGCTGGGCTTTATTTGTTTTCCACCCCCTCAGTTTTTAGTTACCCCCCATGACAGTTACTTTTGTCAATTTAATACAATCTAGTATAGCCCCAGTTGGCCTGAACTCACAGAGATCTGCCTGCCTCTGCCTCCCAAGTGCTGGGATTAAAGGTGTGCACCACCATAACTGGAATAAATAGTAAAATTTTTTAAAAAAGAAAATCCCACCGGGTGTGGTGGTGTGTGCCTTTTATCCCAGAACTCGGGAGGCAGAGGCAGGTGGATCTCTGTGAGTTCAAGGCCAGTGTGGTCTACATGGTGAGTTCCAGGACAGCTGGGGCTACAGGGAGACCGTCTCAAAAGGACAAAAAAAAAAAAGAAAAGAAAATCCTGCCAGGAGGTAGAGGCAGGGGGATCTCTGTGAGTTCCAGGCCAGCTTGGTCTACATAGTGAGTTCCAGGCCAGCTGGGGCTACAGGGAGACCCTGTCTCAAAAAGACCAAAAAAAAATTTTACTTCTACTATTTATTTTATGTGTATGTGTATTGCTTGCATGCATGCAAGTGCAGCTATGTGGTGAAATGCTGATGGAGGTCAGAAAAGGGCGTTAGATTCCCTGGAACTGGAGTTACAGACAGGTTAACGTTAGCCAGTCCGGCAGTGCGCAGGCGCAACCCCCCCCCCCCCCCCCCCCCCCGCTTCTGCAAGAGCAGTCAGTGCTCCTGATCACTGAGCCATCTCTCCAGTTCCAATGAGGGGATTTTCTTAATTAAGGAGGGAAGACAGCCACTGTGGATGGCACCATTTTTGATGGGCAGGGGACTCTGGACGGATTGTCCCAAAGTGAAGAAAATCAGATAAGCCCTATCATGCATGCATTAATTCCTTGCTCTGGGTTGACTGGATATAACATGACCGGCTGCTTCGAGTGCCTGTGGCCTTGACTTCCAAGCAATGATGGGCTGTAACCCAGAATAGCAAGTCAAGTACATCCTTTCTCTCCTAAATTGCTTCGGTTGAGGTATTTTTAGTCCGCAAAAGGAAATGAAATTTAGACGCACATTTCCCTTTGTTTTTGGTGCTGAGGACCAAACTCAAAGCCTCAATTTGAACATTTGAGAAATTTTATTTACTTATTTTTCTTTCATTTATTATGTGTATTGAGTGTATTGCCTGCATGGATAAGTGCACCCGTGTCGTGCAATGCCCGTGGAAGTCAGAAGTCGGTGTAGGATCCCCTGGAACTGGCGGTACGGACAATTGTTAGCCACCATGTGGGTGCTGGGAACCGGACCCAGGTCTTCTGCGAGAGCAGCCAGCGCTCCTAACCGCTGAGCCATCTCTGCAGCCCAATATGAACATTTGTAAAGGAGCGGGGCAAGGTAGGCAGGCTCATGGAGGACACAGAAGGGGTTGGCTTGCTGGCCCCCTCCCGGCTCCCCACTGCTTACACCCTCAGCTCGGACGCGCAGTCCTCCCGGAGCATCGCGTCGGCCAGTTGCTGCAGCAGCGCATCCTCGGTGCTCACCAGCTGCGCGGGGAGGGAAAGCGGCGGGCTGAGACCCGGGCGGGGCCGCAGCGCCCACGGACGGCTCGGCGGGCGCCCTGTCCGAAGAAGGTACCCTGCGAGGCGGCACGCTTGGGCGGTCTACGGTCTGGACCGGTCCCAGGGATGGCCCGGCGGGTCCCTGACCCGGAAAACCCAGTTCCCGCTTTGGGCACTCACTCCGCCAATCAACGAGCTAGCTCAGAGCCGGCCGCGCGCCTATTGGTGGGTGCGGCCCTCGATCTCCCAGAGCGGCTGCTCCGATTGGCCCAGTGTGAGCGCGTCCTGCCCACCCTTCGCCGCCTAGTCCGCCCGCCCGCCGGCCGGCCCGGGCGGACGTACAGGCCCGGCAGCGGGAACCGCACAGTGAGCCCCCTACCAGCACGGTGGCCCGGTTCAGGTCGGGCAGCTTGTCCATCGGCCTCAGCACCGACATCCCGGCCGCGTCCTCGGCACCCGCGTCCCACCGCCCAGTTTGGCGCGCGGGCCTTTCCAACCACCCGGAGTACCGCCCCCAGCGGGCGGGGAGTCACGCCGACTGGGCGGAGCTTCCTGCGAGGCTGCACTGTCTTAAAGGAACCGCTTCACCTCTACTCAAACTCGTGCAATCCCCCTGCCTCAGCCTCCTGAATGCTGGGATTTCAGGTATGCTCCATCATGCCTAGGTCTTGGGGTGATTCTTGATTCTCTTTTTCTTTTAGAGACAAGATTTCGCTATGTGGCCCTGGGTGGCCTGTAACTTGCTGTGTGGACCAGGCTGTCTTGCCTCTGTATCCCTAGTACTGGGCTTAAAGTTGTGTGCCACCATGCCCAGCGTTTTTTTTTTTTTTTAATTTTTGGGGGTGGATCTGGAGAGCTAGAGAGATGACTCAGAGGTTAAGAACACTTGCTGCCTCCAGAGGACCTAGGTTTGATTCCCAGCACCCACATGGCCACCCACAACTGTTCTTTACTACAGTTCCAGGGGATCTGATGCCCTCTTTTGGCCTCTGCAGGGCCTTGCATCCATGTGGTGAACTTAGATACATGCAGGCAAAACACTCATACACACAAAATAAAATTAATAAAATATTTTAAATATTTTGTTAGCATATATTTATACATAATAATGGATTTCATCATGACATTTTCATAAATGTATACATGTATTTTGATCATATATGCCCTTTACCCTCTCTTGTCTGCCTTCCACCCCCACTGATCATTTTCCTCTCCCCTCTCTCTAGAGGGGCCTTAATGATTCTTTGCATCACTGCTAAGAATTTTCCAGCATCCAGGAATCTCTCCTCCTTACCAACTGATAAGCTCATGCCTGCTTCCTGGATGCTGTCAGAAGGCATGAAATTCTGGGAAGAAATAAAGGACTTATTGCTTCATATATTTATGACAGCTGTTGGGCTGAGGACGTACCTCAGTTGGTAGAGCGGGCACCTTGCATATACAAAGGTATATGCTTATTGCATAAGCAGGGTGTGTGGTGCACACTTACAATTCCCAGCACTGGGGAGGTGGAGGCAGGAGGATCAGAAGATCAAGGTCATCTTCAGTTACAAAGTGACTTTGAGGTCTGAGATACATAAGACCCAGTCTCAAAAGTAAAAATAAAATGAAACAAAATAAAATATAAAAGCAGTAGTCAGAGCTTCATGTTGTGTTGGTGATGTTTTGTTTTTTGCTTTTTCATGTCCCTTAAACACCACAAAGGGCCCATCATGGGTGCTGTACAGCTAGTGGGTGACTGGATAGTAAGTGGTAATATGTTTGTTCTTTGTCCAGGAGGAAACATTGCCTCATCCCTTCAGGCTCTTAGGACAAACATGATGCTGAGGAATGGCCAGGGTGAAGCGCTGTCAGGCTCTCTCCCTTTTTTCTTTCTTTTCTCTTTTCTTTATTTTTTAGACAGGGTCTCCTTGTAGCCCCAACTGGTCTGGAACTTGTGTAGACCACGTTGGCCTCAATCTCACATAGATCTGCCTGCCTCTGCCTCCCAAGTGTTTGGATTAAAGGCATGATGGGTCAGGATCTTGCTTTCTTACCCTACCCAGCAAGAAACATTCCAAGATAGGGTATGAAGCAGATTGCTTTCCTAACAGTATAATTATATTGTCTATCTATCCTACGAGACTCAGAGACTGTCACTGAGTATATACAGCACTCTAAAAGTAGTACATAGTAGTTGTCACTAAATATTTGTTGAATGAATGAAACTAATTTACCATTCATTCATTCTCAGCAGTCAGCCATTCATAAATTCGAGATTGAATGGCTGACCTTGGGAGTATAGATAAACCAGACATTATTGATCAACTCTCTGATGGGAAGAAACAATGATGACATGGTGTTTATAGTTGTGGTATTTGAGAGCACCAAAGCCTGACTCCTTGATGACCCTGTCATTTTACTCCGGACTAAACTACCTGTCCTGCTCATGTAAAATAGGCACTAAATGACTCCATGAAGCCTCAAAAACAAAACAACAGAAAAGAACAGGAGAAAGAAAGGAAGGAAGGAATAAAAGAGGGAAAGAAAGAGGAAAAGAGGAAGTCAAGCAAGCAACTACTGTAAAAGCTGGGTGTGGTGGGATTATACCCATAACCCCAGCTACCCAGACGCTGAGGCTGGAGGGTTGATGGAACCCAAGAAGTCCAGCGTGGGTAACATAGCTACAAGAATGTGATGTTAGAGTCTAGCCTTTGCTGTTCAGCAGCTCTCTCCCTTTCGAGAATACTGACAGATACCCTACTGAGTCCAGAGCTAGCAGACCTGTCAGTGCCATCACGTCTCACCTGGGGAGGAAGTTTCCATCAAAGGGGTGTCACATCCTTTTCCACACCCCTTCCCTACCTCCTGCCTGGGAATCAGAGAACCTGACTGCAGGCTCTTGCTGTGAATCTCCCACTCTTTAAAAGGTATAAGAGGCTCTCCTCTCTCTTCAGAGGACCCCTCCATCTCCCCCACCATGCTGCTGTCCCTCTGTCAATGACATTAGTAACTCTTCTAATAAACTGTTTAGTTCCCAATAACCTGTCTCAGTGTCCTCTTGATCCTCCTACCACATCCAAAACCTAGTAATATCAGGACTCCATCTCCAAAACTAAACCAGTAAGTGAACACTATTATACACAGATCTAATGTGTGGCCAGGTATGGTGGTGCATGTCTGTAATTCCAGCAGTAGGGAGGCTGAGGCAGGAGGATTGCCATCACTTTGAGGCCAGCCTGAGCTGTGTAATGAGACTGTCTCAACCAAAAAAAGTGTAAAATATGATATGCTGTGACGTATGTATGTGCCTAGGGAGCCATCACTACATATACCTGTCATGCCTAAAATGTTTCCTCCTGTTCCATCGGATTCTTTCCCTCAACCCCTCTCTGCCCTCAGCTGTTAAGAAGCACTTTGAGGGGCTGGAGAGATGGCTCAGCGGTTAAGAGCAGAAGCTACTCTCGCAGAGGACCTGGGCTCAGTTCCTACTGCCCACGTAGTCGCTAACAACCATCTATAACTCCAGTTTCAGGGGATCTGATGTCTCCATGGTCAGGTTCCAGCTTCCGTGGGCATTGCAAACATGTGAGGCACTTACATACAGGGAGGCAGAACATTCATATATGTAAAATAAGAAAATAAAAAAGAAACACTGACAGCTTTACTTGTCACCCTGACAACCCAAATGTCCTTCAGTGCTGAGGAGATACACAGTGTGCAGTAGGCAAACACATGCAACAGTGTGGACAAAGCACACTGAGCAAGGAAAGCAAGACAGACACTAAAGAGCACAGACTGTGTCATTTCAATTTGTATGACACCTGCATACAGGCAAAACTCATCCATGGTGACAGGAACCAGAGCAGTGGGTGCCTTTGGGGGAAGGGTTACTAATTGGCAGAAGGCATGGGAGGCGTCGCTGACTGAGGAAGCATCCTGCACTTTGACGGTGGTTACATGGTTGTACACCCAGGTAAAAATTCATCACTTAAGATGTCTGAATTTGGGGGCAGCTCAGTGGGTAAGGGTGCTTGTTGAGAAGCCCGGTGAGTGGAGTTCCGGCCTTGGAATGCAGGAGCTGGACTGACTCCTGCAAGTTGTCCTCTGATTTCCACAAGCACACTGTGACACACGTGGGCACCCCTCTGAAATGTAACCAAAACCAACATAATAAGATTATGACTAGTACTTACCTAAAGGTTTGTTTACCTGACATGCCTGCATTTTAAAAATTCTCCCAGGAACCTAAAATCACACCCTCTCCCCGTCCCCTAGTACCACTTGCAGAGCTCCCAAGTGGTAGGGGATCGTGGGTGGGAGACCAAAGGCCCCCAAATCATCTCACCCAGGGTCTGTCATCTCTGCTTGTCCTCAGGATTCTGGGAATAGACTCCCGGGAGCTGGGTCCTCTCCTCTGCCCTGTACCATAGGTCCCCTGGGGCCACTGCTATTTATGGAATGCTCACTGGATGAGACATCTTGCAGGTGACAGACATGCTCTGTATGGGTCACAGGGGAGGATCCAGGCACAAGGGTCACACACTGGCAGCCCCACTTCTTGACTGAATTCCATCTCCTTCTCTGAGCACCTGAGTGGCCTGGAATAAGGTAACCAACTTCACCTGCATCAGCATCAGCGGACTCATCTCCATGTAAACCCCCAACACCCACCCCAGAGGAGGAACAGAAGCAACTGTGGGGAGCCAGGCCGGGCAGGTGGGGCTGCTCAGTGCCTGGGGGGCTGAGGGGCTGGTGAGGTGGAATGGGGAGGGGCCGCTGCTGGCTTAGGGGCCCGAAGGCAGGCCTGAGCTTCTCCTTGACTTTGTGCCTTTCTAGCTCTGTGTCCTTAGATAAAGACGAAATGGGTTAACAGAGAAAAGTACTGAAAACTGTGTCCGGGACAGGGAAAGAGTTCCACTGAGCCAACGCGTCCTGACCCTCCGTTTCACTTCTGGGTGGTCCCTCTGCATCACGTGACCTCATTAGCACTTGCTGGTGTGTCCCTGTCCACTTGCCAGAGACCCAAGTCTCTTCCTGCTCCCAGTCAGAAAAGTACCAAATCCTCCCCGTTACTAGCCCAGGTCCTCTCCTCTCCTGTCAGCCTTGGGGCCTGGGGCCTGCTGAATGACTCCCATCCCTCCCCAAATTCTGCCCTCGCTGTCATCTGCTGTACCACGTGTACAGTAGAGGGATCCAGAAAAGGAGGCTGGTTGCCAAGGCAACAGAGGATAAAGCCCTTGCACTGCCTGACTGCTGATTGGCTGAGACAAGTCCCGCCTCCTGCCATCCTGAAAGTAGGGGGCAGAGGAAGGGTCTCTGATGGGCAGGGAGAGGTACCAGGGAGCTGAGCCAGCCCAGGACTGCTACCTCTTGGCCCACTCAGAGGCCCCTGGGTCAGAGAAGCTCTATCTCCCGTGGGAGCATTGGCCTGTCATTCTCTGACTCCAGCACCCATAACGGCCACAGATGGCAGTGTCTCTGTGTCTCTGGGGATAACAGCTGCGACAGAGTCCAGCCCGACACTGAGCAGTTCAGGCGT